TTTTTTTCTCGTGTTTGATATCTCCAATCAGCTGCTTTCAGGTTGATGAAGATGAAGGTCTTTTGTCAGAACTTTTTCGGATTAAGAAGGATAAAACACTGAAAAATCCGTATCGCTTATAGACAGTGACATTCAAACTTTCCTAGAAGGGGAAGAAAAAGAAAAACCGGAATTTACGTATTCAGTGTTTTTGGTAATGGCATTTCGCGCGGCTGAGAGCAAAAATCGACAACTGAAATATTTGCCACACGCCGATTTTGGCTGTGCACCTGAAAGATTTTTTTTGTGGGTAAGGACCAATTCAATAACTGACAATTTTGTATATTGAAAATTAGGCTCATTGTTTGTTTTTGTAGAGATTCAACGCATGTATTCATCTTGAGTGCGCCGACGCACTATCTGATCTTTATGTGGGGATTGTCGATCCTTTTATTTTCATCTATAATGGAGTCGACTTTTCTTGTCAGTAAAGGGCTCTTGAGTCTATATGATAAAGAAAATAATGCATGGTTACTTGGAGATGCGAAATTTCTCTTCTCGTGTTCAACTCGACATCTCACTCGCTCACTGTGCGATGTCAAAAGCGGGGCAAAATTACTCAATGCTGATTGGCTGGGACAGAGGGCATTGTTTCCTAATAACAAGGGCACTTTTAGTGATCGACTCGGGCAATTTTAGGAAAACTTTGCAAATACGCGAAAAAGCAATCCTTAATTGCCCTCGGGCCCTACGATTACATATACAAAGCAAGTCTTGATACCACGAACGCCTTACACAAAAAGCAAAGGCGAAATGGAAAGTAAGGGATTTTGACCAAGTTGAATTCTAGTGAAAGTACGCTGACAATTTACAGTGCTAACGTATTTCAGAAGTAAGGGGTCCTGTCAGATTGAATTACGCGCCCTAAGTGGAACTTTCGTTTCATACCACGCGCAGTTTTACCTTGGTATGGCCAGTTGACATTTTGAAATACATGTTTAATTTTGCATTTATTGAAATATTCAAGTTTTGAGCTCAGCTTGGATATTTGGTCCTTAACTTTTCGATCGGGGTAAGTTACACTTGAATAACCAACTTGAGAGTTTCTCCTTTTTAAATTTGTTATGCCCAACAGGAAGCCCTCACATCTTGCTAAGAATTATTCAATTCCTTTTTTTTTAAATAAAGTTTACGAGTCATTCCTTAATCTTTCATGCCGTAAGTAATTAAAAATCGCAAAAAGGGAGGGCAGTGAGGATTCCTGAGCACAGTAACATCATAAAGATAATAAGAAAAAACACTGAATCATCACACAAAAAGGCTGCAAAACACCGATACGATCAATACCGCAACATGCTTTTCACTGCGGCCATGCATAATTACAAACACGACTGGACACTTAATGAAGAACCAAACTGAAACCCAGACTGCATATTAGCATCCTCTGTGGAAAGCTCGGTTAGGTTATCCGGGTACAGTCGTATTGAACTTCAGCCAGTCACTAACAAGAGTAAGCGATTCAAAAGGGAGACCCAGAAACCGTGTCTATCTACGCGATGGAATAACTTTGTCACCAGTACTACAACATACAAAAAATCAAGGCTCTACGACTACATATGCTTTGTTGATTCACCACTGTATCTAACACCAATGGAAGGAGTGGCGATTGATGCGCACATACACTGTTCTGGTTAAAGGTATTGTGGAGCTAGAAATGTTAAAGTAAGCTCTTATGTTTCCAAGTGTTCGTGACGTGTTTTCCCTCAAAAATCTTTACAAATTCAGTCGTACGTTGGCCAGTTGTTCTTAAAGAACAGGTACCGAACAATTAGACTTTCTTAATTCTACCTTTAATTTTTGAACAACACTCCGTAACTCGCGGAACGAAACAAAAAAAGGCGGCCACAACCCATGCGGATTCAGGAGTATTGGACAGCGCTCCCTGCTGTTTTTTCATGGATTTTTGGTTGTGTGCGATGCGTCGCTATGTAGTTTTCTTGTTTTCTTTTTTTAATTTTTTTCGGTTTGGTCAACTTCAAGCAACAAGCGGAACGAAAACATTGTCGTGTTGATATTTCACACGAAGTGTAGAGGATGTTGAAAATGAGGAGGTGGGTGAAACGTTTTGATCTAGTACAAATTTAACAAAGGTATAATTTTTTTTTTGCATGTATATCCACAAGAATAACTTAAGTTTCAAGGATATCAGTATACTTGTGTAGAACGTGATAAATCTACTCCATTT